TGCTCTGGTCAATACTCTGATTTCAAAATTATTTGGAAAGGAGTTCCCCAGGGAAGCATTTTAGGTCCTCTTTTATGCTCTATTTATACTGCGAATTTGGATACCTATTTAGAGAGTTGTCAGATACATCAATATACGGATGACACGCAAATCTATCATTCATTTGCAAGTAATGCAATTAATAATGCGGTTGATAAAATTAATGCTTATTTAAAGTCAATGTCTAACTTTAGTATTGCTCATAAACTCATTCTCAATGAAGCAAAAATACAGTTACTTTTATTTGGTAAGCAGAGACAAACAATTAAAGTGCACCCTGATTTTCAGATATTTTTGAATGGTAAAATAATAAAACCTCAAGATGATTGCAAAAACCTGGGCGTATATCTAGACGTTAACTTAAGGTTTCAGAGTCATGTTAACTATTTGATTAAAAAGTCTTATGGGAAATTGAAGTTACTTTATATGCATAAAGACTCTCTTTGCAAATAAATTAAATTAAAATTATGTGAAACCTTAGTTATGTCGTCATTAAGTTATTGTGTTACCGTCTATTGACCGTGCTTCATCTGACAAATATTCTCTGCAGAAAGTACAAAACAATTGTTTAAGGTATTCATTTGGTTTGAAAAAATTCGACCATGTAACACCATGTTATCAAGAGTCTCAATGGCTCAAATTAAGAGAACAGTATGATCTACGTTTGTCCTCCCTGATTTATAAAGTCAATGAAAACAAATCTCCTGCATATTTACATGACAAGCTTGTGAAACGTAATGTTATTCATGGCTGCACCACAAGATTCCGGAATCTGTATACTGTCCCGAGGCACCGCTATGCCGAGTATTCAAAATCTTTTTCCTAGAATGCCGCAAAGCTGTATAATAGAATCGATATTAATATTCAAAATGCCCCCACTTAGTATCATCTTTTCGCAAGCATCTAAAACAATTCATTTTATTACAAAGAACTATGTAGTTGTATTAATTTTTATTTAGTTAGGTTGGTTTTTAGTTATATTTTGTTATACTATTTATTTCTAATTACTTATTTTTCTGGTGGTTACGTGGAAGAGCGAGTAAAATCGAACGGCGCCACCAGGTTGCCTAAATCTTTGTTATAAATTAGTGATGTGAGTGAAAATATATAACAAATTGATATATATCAATTTTTGATACATATCAGCTATTATATTTATGTTAATAGCTGATATATATCAATTTTCCCGCCATTTCATGAATAAAGCCAAATTTCAAACATAACCTTACATTTTAAAACTAAAAACTTNTATCTTCAGCTTTCGACTTTCCCATTGTTAATTAATCACCCTGTATAAGGAATAGTAGTTATAGTTTTAATTAAAAAAATACATAAAAAAGCTTTTATCATTTTGCGGACATACTGTTAAAATTAATTGATCATATTACTAAAATAATGCATAATATGACAATAACAATTTCAATTTACATCGGTAGTAATCAATGTTCTACAAACGATGTTTTCTATAAATTGTGTCTTATTGTATGAAAATGCATCATTAATTAATTACCTACAAAACACTACGTAAAAAGGATACACCGTGACAGAAGTGGAAGTGTTTCAAAAATTAAACTACATATGATAGAAAATTGAGAATTACACAACTAGGTTTTCTTTTCAGAGCTAAGAATTTGATTTACTTACAATTAGTATACATACATACATTACAAATTTTTACGAATTTAATTTCAATAGCAATGAGCTATTAAATCAAAAATACGTATTAACTGAAGACAATAATATTTCATGATTAAAAGTATAAATGCTGAGTCATTATTTATTACTGTCAAATTTTTTATATAAAATTTTGCTCAACTGCAAGTCATTGTAATTAGTCATTGCAGTTATTTGCCTCAAATTGTTCATATAAACAAGAAACTTATTTTATAAAACTAATTAAATCGGAATAATTACGAAAGAAATAATTTCAGATTGAAGTATTTGAAAACCATTTACGATAAAGAAAATTAAAGAAATCCACACGAGTGTATCAGTTTCTAAATAATATATTACTTAGTATAAAATACTAAAGTGTATTGTTTGATCCCATTGACGAAATTTATCCTGAAATGTAAGCTAACGGTCTAAATTAACTTTAATTATTATTAACTATATTTAGGTGTTATACCATTTCATAAAAAACACTCTTGCAGCTGTCAAATTAACATAGCGATTATTTGAATTATTGTATGAATAAACGTCCTTTTGTTATTTGATTAACAGCAATTTAATTGGACACTTGTCGACAAAAACGTAAATAAATGTAAAATAAAAAAATGAATAGATTGATTGGGCATCAATCTACAATTTAGTTATATCTGGAGCTTGGTAGAAAAAGGGCCAATGTCCAAAAATTACATTTAACAGCTAATGAGTCTCCTGGACTACTCATGTTACATATTTGCATCACAAAAAGGGCCACTGTCAACAAGTATTATATGCCTTAATTATTTAAAATTTAAAAAGGCCTAAGTCTAATTCTAATTAATAATCTTAGTCTAATAGAAAAAGGGCCAATGTATGGACTTAGGCCCTTGAAATACTTTTAAAACGTTTGACAAACGACCAATGTCCAAATGGACATTGATCCTTTTTCTACCAAGCTCTAGATATAGTGCGGTGGTTATCCAACATAAGGTATGATACAATTATTGTTACATTTTAGAGACATTTATTTTGGTTGCTGATAAATCACGACGGATAAACATTGTGCAGTTGCATTAATAGCATGTTTAATTTTCTTTTAAATGTCTGAAAAAATATTTACAATATTTTAAACGTTTACGATAACATCAAAACATAATAGTTATTTATTGTAAGTATAAGTGTTTTAAGTAGCATTTTATCCACACAAGAATGTTTAAACGCGAGAACGTACTTAGTTCCAGAGTTTATTATTCTTAATGTTTTGAACTAATATTCTTAATATTTTGAACTGTAAAAATATTTTTGGCTAATAATATTTCAAAAACATGTTTAAAGTACTAATTTGTTGTATGGACTGTGTTTTAATTAGGCGGCGTCGACGTCAAATCAGAAAAATTTGGGAAAAATCGGGAAGAAAACGAACGGGGTGCAAGATCCAGATTCCGTATGTCCGAGTTTGAATTTTTATTAAACAAACAAACAACACTCAAAATTCGGAACTATATCCCCGGCAGAACGGGCAGCTTTGACTTAAATATTTTAGCATCTGATAAGGTATTCCGTAATTCGGCAAACGTTTTTTTTTTACTATTTTAGTTTCTTTTGTGACCATGTACGAGACATTTGTACCGGGTGTTCAAAAAGTTTGAAACCCCCCCTCTATCTCAGAAAATACTGCTCAAACAAAAAAGTAATTAGGACAAAAGTTGCAGGGTTTTGAGTGAGCAATCCAACAGTGACCTTGACCATGACCTTGAAGGTCATTTAAAGGTCAAGTTGAATATTTTAAATGGAACCGTATATTTTTGATCCCGGAAATGGAAAATATGGAAATTTTAAGTTCGGATATGACCATAACCATGACCTTCAAGGTCGTTTACAGGTCAAGTCGATTTTTGATAAATGACCCGATATTCTTGACTGCGGAAATTGAGTGAGCGTAAAATTCACTTATACCATGTCTTTGACCATGACCTAAAGGTAATTGTAACGTCAAACGTAAGCAAAGAACTTCAGTTTAATAATGCTCTTACGAAAAAAATTTAACGTAAAAATTTCCATTTTTCCATTTCCGGGGTCAAAAATATACGGTTCCATTTAAAATATTCAGGTTGACCTCTAAATGACCTTGAAGGTCATGGTCAAGGTCACATTCGAACGTAAAATTTTCCGATCTTACCATTTCCGGGATCAAAAGTATACAGTTCTATTTAAAATTTTCAACTTGACCTCCAAATGACCTTCAAGGTCATGGTCAAAGTCACCGTTGGATTGCTCACTCAAAACCCAGCAACTTTTGTCCTAATCATTTTTTTGTTTGAGCAGTATTTTCTGAGAGTAGAGGGGGGGTTCCAAACTTTTGAACACCCTATTGAATAGAATATAGACCGCCTAACAGGACTGATATATCCAAGATGCGCATTGCGGAGACCGTTGTGGTGTGTGCTCTAGGTAGACTGAATATTAGACTTTTCAGAGTTTTTTTTCTTATATTACCTTATGCGTGTTACTTTTTGCATAGTAAGGACTTTCCAGAGGGTGACACAAAATGCTTGTACAAAAAAAAGTTTAGAGCTTTAATAGAACACCCAGAACATTTTAACAACTGCCTACACGTCTTTTCTACAAAGCAACAAAAGAAAGCTGTAAGAATAAAACTTGCAGCACCCTGAATATTTTTTAATAGAACATCTAAATACGGCGTTATAATGTTTGACAAGTGTTAATGTAGTCTTTGCATCTCCCTGTAAGAACTGACTTGTATACAAAGAGTAACAAAATATAACACAAAATCGGTATTTCAGTGTTTCTTTTCTAAAAATTAAGTCCCCTATACTACACGGTTTGAAATTATATCTAAGCAGACTTAAAAAAGTGTACAGTTCTTTAAAGAACAAATTAGAAGAGTGATGTTTCGCTATAGCTGTAAACAAAATACAATTTTATAGAATTTAAGACATGATTTGTTTTCAACATATTGAAACGTGATTTTTGGGCTCCTTGGAATAAAATTCTATTCGATTCCTAATTTCAGAGAATTAAATTTACTTTTAGTGTCTAATAAAAACAAACGAAAATTTAGGGATGTATTTATGAAAAATCTAAATTGTAACATAATTTGGGTCGATGCAAAATATTATAGCATGAATTCAATTTGTCCGCGAGTTTCAGATGCGCACTTGCATCCTTACCAGACTAGTACCGGAGCTCATTCTCTGTCTGAACTTACTGCCCTATTATAAGGTCTCCTGACCTTGATCCACACTTGATCTGCTCATCTCGCAGAAAAGATGAGTTTTTGTCAAGTTTCATACCTTTTGTGAGTGGCGATAACGTCAGGTAATGTACTGAAGCTGCACCAGCACTCTCGCCAAATATGGTTACATTGTGTGGATCACCTCCGAAACTATGAATATTTTGTTGTATCCACTTCAGCGCTAAAACTTGATCCTTCAAACCAGTATTTCCTGGAACCCCAAGTGATTCATCTTCTAAGCTTAGGAATCCTGCAAACATAATATATTTCAAATATATTTAAATAAATATATATTTTCTAAACAGGGTCTTCAGGCCTCAGAGACTAATTATTTCCCGACCTTAGTGAGTAGTAAAGTTTGGTGTGTGTAAATCAAACTAGCTTGTACAATTTTAGGCCAATCAATAGAGGTTTTGTTTGTGACAGATACTAGTAGCAAACATACTGTGCCATCATATAAAAGACAGTCTGTAGGTGTAGGTGGAGGGTGGCCCAATAGTGTGACAAAGTTTAATATCTCCCTTATTACAAAGTTTTGAAAGGAAATATTTTTCGCTGAGACAGGGTTCTGTAAATCTGTCCACCTGTCCACTGTGGAAGTACTACCAGTAATTAAAAAAATATATTTTGTAGGCATGCGGACCAAAGATGTGCACAAACAACAACATTTTTTTATTTTTGGATTAATATGTTAATTACCTACAACTTTTGTAAATAATACACTATGCCTAAAATCACTATTTTCGGAAATATTGGCACATTTCTAGCAAAACCCCTTTAATTTTGCAATAAGAAGTGGATCTTATTTGTGGAAGAGCGAAATGGGCGGTGACTATTAGACGCTTTCATTATAGCCATCTTTCTCTATCGCATGGATTTCTATGACTTTCTTTATCGCTCTCACGTAACGGCCGATGAACCATGGGGACTTTCCGACCCTGTAGATCAGGTACACATAGACTATTGATTACCTATAGGATTTTAAAACGAACTATGACGATCAAGAGATTTTATTACATGAATCGTTCAAATGGTCATTTTAGATGAAAAAACCGCGGAGTGCTATTAAATTAGAGGGTGGAAATTGGAGATAGGGGAGAAATGCACCCCTTTTCAAAATTTCGCTATAGTTCATAGGAAAAATTATCTACAAAATTGAATTTCCCATTGAAATAGCTTCTTTAAAAAATTGAAGAGGAAAATTTTATGCAAAAAATCGTTAATAAACAATTTGAAAAAGTAAAAAATTCGATTTTTTTTATTGTTTTTACTTTTTGCCTCTAGTTTTTTTTGAGTAAAGTAGTTTTATTGCTTCATAAAAAAGTAGATAAAATTTCCTTAAAAAAAAAGTATGGTTGCTCAAACTTAGCCAATTTTTCGATTTTCGTCGCGTTTACCCTTATACGTTTTAATTTTCATTTTTTGCAAAAAAGGAAGGATTCATTCAAGGATTTTCATCACATGATTTTTTCGAAGGGTCATTAACAATGAAAAAACCGCGGGGTGCTATTAAATTAGAGGGTTGAAATTGAAGATAGGGGTGAAAATGCACATTTGGAGTTTTTTAAATATAGCACGAAAATCAAAAAAATCGAATTTTTTGCTTTTTTTCAAATTGTTTATTAACGATTTTTTGCATAAAATTTTCCTTTTAAATTTTTTAAATAAGTCATTTCAATGGGAAAATCGATTCTGTAAATAATTTTTCCTATAAATTATAGCGAAAAAGGTGAAAACCTCTATCTCCAATTTCCACCCTCTAATTTAATAGCACTCCACGATTTTTTCATCTAAAATTACCCTTTGAACGATTCATGCAATAAAATTGCTTGAACGTCATAGTTCCTTTTAACCCTGTTTTTTTTTTTTGATATAATCAATAGCCTATTAGGTTACCTACTCCATTTTGCCTTTACATTTTATTAAATAACATGTATATTAACTGATAGACATCACTACAACCAAAACCAGATGACGCTGTAGTTATTGATATTTTATCAACGAAATGAATAATTTATGTAAATAAATAGGTTAATTATGATAGCTGACTTATCATTATAATTTGTTAACCAAAAAATATCGTATTCACTGTGCGACTGAGCTACAGTAGGGTTTATTGCGCGAAATATAGTTTTTTTATTTTATTACAAGCAATTCCTGAAATGATTTCAATGTTTTTTTAAATGCAAATATATTATTTATAGTTAAATATTGTCAGATAATTCAAAATTTATCATTTAATTTTCTTTAAATTAATATTCAATCAAACAAATAATTTCGTTCTACATCAAAATTTTTATTTGCTGATAATATTGTTTTAATTGTAGTTCTGTTGTTCTGCACACCGATAAATGATAATCATATTGCACTAAATTTTACACTCTTCTAACCACATATCTCTTTTACTTTAATTCGCGCTTTTCGTAGGCAATGAAAATAGCATGTATAGCATGCATGAATTATATTTTAAATAATAAATATACAATTTAGAGATATAACATCAATTGTCAAGAAAATAAATAATACGTCGACTTTACAAATTATAATATTTCATGTTTCCTTTACTACATAATTTTTAAAATTATATACTATTTTCAAATAGAATGTATCATCATAAACCGTTATAAGTGACTTTGTATATTTTCTGTCAACAAAGTTATGAATTCTTTAAGTACTGCTAAAGAATTTATTACTATGCAAGTATTGACTTTTTTTACATAATATTATTTTATAATAGAATTAAATAATAATTATAGATATTTAATTTACAATTAGTAAATTTCAATAACAGTGTTGTTATATCTTTTAACCTTTTTGTTAAACATGTTCTGTTTTAAAGTGGCAATAATTATACAAACCAATAGCATATCTAACACTTTTATGCTAAACAGAATTGTTTTAACTGCAGCTTTTAAATTGATTAAATATGGCCAATCAATTAGAAAACAAGGGTAATTAGTTTAAAAAATTTTTATGGGGCAATATTTTAATGAATTTCTTTCATATAGAATGATTTGATGGTTATTAAAACGGTCATATTTAGCATTGTATTTCAAACAATAAATTCCTTTCATTTTTTCCTAAAATAAATATTTTTAGAGATGTTTTAAATTTATGCGTGTTATACGATTCAAAATAGATCGTTTCCCGAATAAATTTACAGATACCTCATCTGATTTTCAAAATACTCAGTACCGTTAAAATTCTGAGGTTCTTATTGACAATGCGCCCCAGTATCTCCGCTATGGGTTGACAAATTCGTATAACAGACTATTATTTTTAGATGCAATATTTACGCACTAATTTCATGTTGTCACTTCCTTCGGACGTCGACTATGTTGTTGTAATTGTAAACAATAGAAGGAAGTTAATTTTGTATATTTTTTAACTACCAATCAGTGGCAGGCATTAAATATCTAGGATAGATTATAAGATTCTGTGTGGTAAATACATTTTTTTATGCAGTATAATCAGCAAATTTTGAAATAATACGTTGGAAAGTTATTTTAGGAATAGATAATTCTAATTAGGCCTTTACTAATGGTAAATATGTGTAACAATGAGTAGACTACATAGGTACTATTTTTCCACAAATAATGCATTTATTATCATTTTACAAATGATAAGCAATACCCATTATCATTCTCCTGTCAGTTACTTGATACGAGTTACAAACTAATTACAAACTGGCTGTCCCTGGTAACACAGACCTTTCAATTTTTATAGATTCCATTAAGTAGTTTACATTTTGTTTTACAGGACATAGACTATGAATGACTAAGACTTTGACGTGAAAAAAAAGATCTCCTGTCAAATGTTAATATTTCATTTACTTGGGAGTAGCAGCTGTCATAACTCTCTTGCTGAATGCACCACAATCATGCACTATGAAAGCTATTTTTGCCCTGAATAGGATCACATAATTCTATGATTATTGTATACTTTTCTATTTCAAAATTAAAAAAAAACAATTTAGTGAAGTAAAAATCATATAATTATACACATGAAAAATTTATGTTTCACGGGAACAGTCTTTGTGTTTGACGCTGTGTCATCTGTTTTTTGTAATGGAAATTTAGTATGTTTCATAGATTTTGAAACTGAGAATTCCGATTGGTCATATGCCGTATTAGACAAAGCGAAAACCTCGCATTCGTACGGGAGAAATTTTCCGGCTCGATTTTTTTGCATATTCAGATTCGTCAGATGTTCCTTAACATGAATCAAGATGACGCCGGCCGGAAATCTGGTGCCCATTTGTTTAAACAAACTGTTTTAAAACAAATTGTAAAAATTATTTTTTTCACTCCGGAAATTTTTTTTTAGATATTTTGTCATATTGTAAGTAAAGTAGTTCCTATGCACTATGCCTCTAAAATTGATAGTTTTAAAGTTATAAACAATTTAAGTTGCTAAAAATGTGAAAATGGCGATTTTCAACGGCCGATTTCCGGGTTAAAAATTGTTATTTTTGATGTTGCCAGATACCTAAATTTCCGGAGTGAAAAAACCAATTTTTACAATTTGTTTAAAAAAAGTTTGTTTAAACAAATGGGCACCAGATTTCCGGCCGACATCATCTTGATTCATGTCATCTCACGAATTTGAATATGCAAAAAATCAAGTCGGAAAATTTCTCCCACGAATGCGTGGTTTTCGCCTTGTCTATATCGGTATGATATACGTATATAACGCCACTGTTCTAACAAAATTAAAATCATATCCTTTTTGTTTTGATTTATTTTGCAAATGACAGATAGTAATTCTGAAAAAAGTGGCAATGTACATCTGGAGCACATATTGTGGATAGCCGGACAAGATGGGTAATATCTTTTATCAGCTATTTTGTAATACATATAATAAGACTTAAAAAAAAACATTTGCCAATTAAACCTATAGGCATATATCTCATAAAAAATTATAACCATACCTCTGTAACTTATGCACATTTAATTATGTTCTCCAAGCTTTAAAAGTATATTTTAATTTTACTTATGTGTACTTATTTCTAATTATGTATATTTTACTTTTAATTATTGACAAGCTGTGCGCCACTGATTTATTTTAGCGTATATAATTGTGTGTGGCTCAGTAGATTGCTATACACGATTTTGGAATGACCTTGACCCAGTTCGGACTTTTTTGCATTGTTACGTGATTTTCCGGTAAATTCTAATAGTCATGGCGTATAAAGCTGAAAACCGCAACTGATTAATCACATATTTATTCGTGTTTTAAAGAAATTAAACCTAAAAATAGAGTTGATAAAAACATATTAAACAGTACGTATATACCAAGCATTATTAAGATGCATAACCAAATATCTCGAATATGGGAAAAATATTTAACAGCTTCTATCTTTTCGGACAAAAGAGTTTCCAATAGTCAGAGGCATGCGCATTCCAATATAATGCTTACATAAATTCATTGCTTCGAATCAAATGCCATTTCGAATGAACGTTGAAAACTGTTTCTAATGCACTAGGAACATAACTAATATTAAGCTGTTTTCATATTATGCTGTTTTCTGAATAACCGTAAACTTTGCACTTCTTTCTAAGCACTATAACCACGATCCGTGTGTTTTTTACCACAAGAATTAGCTCAAAAGTCAAGACTTTTAGAGTAGGAAGTAAATCACTGGAAACATTAGGGGGGCAGTCAACTACTCTTTGATTTTATTCTCTCCATTATCCCAACTGACTTTCTTCTATTCTGATTATTCGATTGATCCTGTCACTCATCAGTGCAACTGGTCTTCGGATAGAATCAATACTTCCTTTCTTTGTCGAAACAATAAATTATCGATTTGCTGTGACTTCACTCGATGTTCATCTCACTACAGAATTGGTATACTGTGATACTACCAGATAGCATGGCTCTTTCAGATAGTATTTCAGATCTACCTTATGAAACCAGAGATAACTGCTTTTGATTATGCTGTTAGAAATACATTATTTATTTAATTTTATTATTTTTCTTAAATCCTACTGAAACATCTTTTAAGGATCTAATGGTATGATAATTGGAAGAACCTAGTTTAGCAAACATAACGAAAATTTCATTTTTTAAATAGAACTGGAAGTGGCGTCTGTGGTGGTAGGTGGTACAATGGTACACTAATACAACAATTCTACTAAACCCTTTTTTTTGGACTGTAAATGGTCATTACATGAGATTATTTTTGGAAGGAGAATGTCAAAATATATCTAATATAGCATTTTTCTGTCCCATAAATTTCAAATACTTATGATACCTATTTCTTTAATAAAATATTAACAATATGCTGCTACTTTCTTAAATACTCTTTATTTATCACCTAGTGATTAGTTATAGTATTCAGTATCATTTGGTCACATTTTGTACAAAAGGCAAATAAAACATATGAATAGGAAAATTTCTTTATGAACAGTCGTTAAAGCTGTCGTTTTATTTAGTTATTTTGCATTGATGAAGATTTATAATGAAGAAATAGAAATAATGAGTTGTTTCTTTTTTATGTGACGGACTTAAAAATAAAGTAAGAGATAAACCATTTAATTTATTTTTATAAAAATGATATGCAGATGTACTGTTGAAGAAGAAAATGAAACATATGTAAGAATAAGACAACTCAAAAATAGGAATCCTCAGTTTAATTTGATTAATTTTCATTAAAATCAATTTAATACAGAAGTAATTCAAAAATTAACAGAAATTATTTACCTACTTTATTTTAAGTATAACAGTATTAATGTAAAATTGACTGTGAATGCCGATTGCCTAAGTTCATTTGCCTTATTACATATGTTTTAGGAAAAACAGCATATATGGCTTCTATTTAGTCATGTAAGACATGACGTCATTTCTTTATTTTTTAAACAAGAGGTGGTCGCACATAATAAAATACTTTTAGCAAATTGAGAAAAAACATTGCCAATACAAAATTTATCTAAAATTCCAGGAAAGGTACTCATTGATTTTTAATTAATCATTAACTAAATAGATCAGGTATTTAATATACAAGGTCGGAAAGTCCCCATGGTTCATCGGCGGTTATGTGAGAGCGATAAAGTAAGTCATAGAAATCCGTGCGATAGAGAAAGATGGCTATAATGAAGGCGTCTAATAGTCATCGCCCATTTCGGCCTTCCGCAAATAAGAAGTGGATCTTATTTGTGGAAGGGCGAAGTGGGCGGTGATTATTACACGCCTTCATTATAGCCATCTTTCTTTATCGCACGGATTTCTATGACTTTATTTATCGCTCTCACGTAACGGCCGATGAACCATGGGGACTTTCCGACACTGTACATACATTATACTAGAGTAAATTTATTTTTTAAATAATTATGATGTCCGGGTTTCAACGGGCGTGTAATTTGTAACACCATATGAAAAAATATATTTACCAAATATTCCTAGACGATAGTTGATGCTAACCAGAATAATATCTTCAGTAAGCAAGTAATCTGGTCCAAAATATTCACTTTTATTGGAACCGTACAGAAAACCTCCTCCGTGAACCCATACCATAACAGGTTTTTTCTCATTATTTTCCTTAGGTAACTATAAATATCAAAATTATATTTAAATATAAATTTTGATAATTGTAATCTAAATATTACCGATTTAATATAAACGTTGAGATTCAAGCAATTATCTTCATTTCCTACATAATAACCAAAGTACAAGTTTAGTGATGGGCATTCTGCTCCCTCTTTGGTAGCATCTTTTACTCCTTCCCATGATTCAGCTGGTTGTGGGGCCTGAAAAAAAAACGGAAATATGTTAATAACATTGATATTTTCTAAACTTCTGATTGTGATGTCATTAAACAATAGAGCATGATGCAGATGGTTATGATATATCACTTTTGCTTAATAGTAATTGGTTTTATGATGATATTGCAGGAAACAACTACTTTGCGAGCTGTCTATCCCGATAACTATTGAACATGCAATATCTAATAAATAGCTAGAATTGCTCATCAGTACCAGACATATACCGGTTTCAGTCTTATTACTCCACATCAGTACGCCATGCGTGAAGCAACCAAAGAAGTATACAATGTATGGTATATACCGGGTGTTCTCTCTATGCGTTATTTGCTTAATCTCAGTTGTCTTAACAGCTAATGCAATGAAATTTGGTATCCGGGCACGAGATGACACATAGATGGAGGTACCAGTTCTTTTTTCAGGAAATTGGGTTGGAAACGTAGGATGGCTATGGTCAAGGAGAATGATACAATTCAGTTAAAATCAGTTAAAATTTAGGTTCACCTAGGGCGCGCTGTCATGGTACCTGTAATAATACAAATTGGCCATACCGGTATATGAAGCCGTAGGCCTGGAATAGCAGTGACCTTAGATCGTCTACTGCAGCTCGTGTATGGCAATTGGTTTATTTCTCCATAAACTTGTAGATGCTTTTCAAAGATAAATTTTTTGAAGCAGCTTTAACCAACAGAACAATTAACAAACAGAAAATATTTTTTGAATGATTCAAAGAGATGAGATTTTAGTGGTGCCAAGTTGGGACAGTATTATGGATATCGATATCTCAACATCCTGGCTCATATCCACGGTGGGGGGATTTTTAGTACAAATAAAACAACCAACCAGCCGTAAAAATAAACCCTAAGAGCTCCAAAAATATAAGTTGTGTAAAGCTGGTTAAAACTACAGTTTTTTTATAAAGGGCATTTTCAAGTTTGTAATATTGGATGAACATTGCTCTTACTCGTATAACGATGTTATAAAAAAATGTCTCTCGTTGAATGACTTTTCCATCTTAATATATACACCAATTATAGCTAATTTTAATATAATAATATAATACTGGCTCTTTCATTCGTCATTAATTTTTTGGGACATATACTTTTAATCCCTCTAACAAGCGAATGAAAGAGACCTGTCGGATAGTATATGTTTTTGACATTTGACATAAAACAATAGACAAGGATTTAGAAGTAGGTATTTAAGAACAACCAACACGTGTTTCGTAAAATAGATACACTAACTTAAAAAAACGATATAAAAGAATATTCCTAAATTTAAATAAAGTAAAAATTTAACATTAACCGTGTTATTCCTACTGCACATGCTCGGAAAGAATAGCCTCATACACATGTGAGATCTTTTTGATATATCATCCCTGTCATCATTAGCGTATTTTGTTTAATCTTGGCATATTCTAGTTCTACTAAGTATTTTTATTGTTTTTCTTTGTGCTGTACTGTGTCTGTATATTTATCGAGTGTTTATTTCTTCAAGTGGTTTACTATAGACGTACTCTTAACAAATACCAATACTAAACTTTTCTTGAATGATACCCTGTTGCGAGGCTACTTCGCTTACATGAAATTATCTTTAATGCGCATGCTCAGTACACTGAAAGAAATGGGCTTATTAAACTGTTTATCTAGAATAATGTGTACAGCGAATATTAAAACTTTTATAACAAATATACAACTTTTATTAAAAAAAAGCAATCATCTCCATACTCATTATTCAATGAGTTCAATTGGAAGGTGCTTAATACACCTTATGCATCTATGAAATAAAGGTTATAATGAACTACTTATACATTATTATGTGTTATAGACTTTATGTTCCAATTGTATAGTAGGGAAGATTTGTTGTATAAAAACCAGTATCCGAATTTGTATATAACAATTGTATTAACAGAATTATTCGTTCTTATACTGAATATGTTTCCGTTTTTAACGTGTAAAACGCGTCTTATAATGGTTAAGTAATCGTCACCTCTCGGTGCATAATCGATTACGATCGTAAAATTTCCGACAGTCCGCTGTGCATCGACTTACGACTATTACACGTCTAGTTTGATGAAAATAGAGAGTAGTGATGGGCATAATCGACCAATTTTGATAATCGAGTTATCGGTAATCGAGTACTTCTAATAATCGAGTGATCACTCGAGATACGAGATATTGGTCATTTTCATCCCAGCGGCGCACAAATATGTTTGTATTAGTCATATATTACTTATAAGCGTAGCTAAAAAAAAAAAAAGCTCACGCACTTCAAAACCTAACCACTTTGTCATTTTATTATAAAAAAAAGGTTACGCAATCAGTGACTATTTGCAGTATGCACTAACATTTTGGGGTGCAACTGTAGGGTAATAATCACTCGAGTGGTGGGAGTAAACATCTCGAGATATCTCGAGTGATCTCAATAATCGAGTACCACTCGATTTTTCACTCGAAATCTCCCATCACTAATAGAGAGTATATAGGCACATGTTCTGTGGGATATATAATCATATCGCGTTGTGTGAAATGGAAAATTATGGAAAAGTATCTAACTGTTTTATGGCTTGTAACTGTTTTGTGTTTTCAAATGTAAATCTTGTCTAAATCTTAAAAATTATTATTTTGTATGCCCTATTAGAAACCGCTGATGTTAAGTTTTACATAAGATGGAGGAACAAAAGGTTAACGGTGACAAAGAAGAGCATGGGTATAAAATCAATCAGCCAGAGGAAATAGAATTGGATGGAAAGAAGCTCACGGAAATATGTTAATAACATTGATATTTTCTAAACTTCTGATTGTGATGTCATTAAACAATAGAGCATGATGCAGATGGTTATGATATATCACTTTTGCTTAATAGTAATTGGTTTTATGATGATATTGCAGGAAACAACTACTTTGCGAGCTGTCTATCCCGATAACTATTGAACATGCAATATCTAATAAATAGCTAGAATTGCTCATCAGTACCAGACATATACCGGTTTCAGTCTTATTACTCCACATCAGTACGCCATGCGTGAAGCAACCAAAGAAGTATACAATGTATGGTATATACCGGGTGTTCTCTCTATGCGTTATTTGCTTAATCTCAGTTGTCTTAACAGCTAATGCAATGAAATTTGGTATCCGGGCACGAGATGACACATAGATGGAGGTACCAGTTCTTTTTTCAGGAAATTGGGTTGGAAACGTAGGATGGCTATGGTCAAGNAAAACGTTGTATACTAGTTATACAATAATTTAATAAAGAATAAGGTTTATAGTCACTATACAACTGTGCTAGCAGTACGCGTTTTATATCCAATATTCACCTGTTTAACTGTCACATATAGTATACAATGGTCTTATAATGATATATAGAATTTTAATAAAGAATAAAGCTCATTCCTTTCAGTGTAACACTGATATAATTTTACTTTATTAATTACTATAAAAGTCAATATTGTTCTATAAATGTAAATATATAAATTCTATAATTCTTTTAGTTTGTCACTTGGGGTTTGAAACTTCTTAAATTTTTCTAATATTGCCAGAATATCGCGTTATTTAAGGTCATGACAAAGAAGACATTTTTTTGGCGCTTATGTCCAAAGTACAAAATCGATCTAGTAAAAATACTGAGAAATTGTTCATGCCAATGTGTACCATGGGGTTGCTTATTATTTGGTGTATGTGACGTTACTACTAAAAAGGTATATTTAAAAGAAATAGATCATTTCAGGCCGTGAATGCAAAAATAACTTATATAAAAGATGCATTTTAGTTGCTTGGTATATCGTAGTTTGTATGTTATATAATTCAGTTGAATAAACCAACGTACCAAAACGAATGCAAAACATTGTTATTATTACTGTTTGTTTCGATGTCTTACAAGGATTATTTGTAATACAAATCACATTTGGCCGTCTGCGCCATGCATTTATAATATTTATCAATATGACATTGACCAATTTAACCCGGATTTGAATTAATATTCATTAATTGTTTGTTCTATTCATTCCTTAGTTATAAAGACTGTTATGTCAATATTTTTTTTGAAAACATCTGTAGCCAACAACATCCTTACGATTGGCAAATTATGATTAAAGAAGACAGCAAAAATAAATATCACAACAAATGCTTTAGTTTAAAAAAAATGCTACAATAAATAAGAGATGCTCAAATCGGGAAATCTAGGCTATCATTCATAGAACATATACAAAATTACATTACCAAAAATAACGTTTTATATAAATATTTTTAAGAACTACCTATCCCCAAAAAAATATATCAGGGTGCGCCATTTTAAATAAATTTTTAGATATGTCGTTATGTTATGGGTCAATGTGACTCTAACAGATTATTTTAGGGTAAAATAATGTTCAGAATAAGAGTTTGTGATATTTTTTGGGAAAGATTCTGGTTGAAAGTTTTATGGTTTGATGGGATTATACGATGATGTCCATCGAATGTCTCTTTCAGAACCCTACAACTTTCGTCCAAAAAGTTTTTCCTAAAAGTGCTTCCTTAAGGAGATATTTCAATGCCTTATGCAATATGGGATACCCTATATAAGCGGATTTTTCTGAAATTTTGGATGTGCATGTGTATTTGATACTTTAATAATATAGGAGTGTAATTGTATTGCGCATGAGAAAACGTCAACTTCGGTAGGTTAGGTAAAATTAAGTTAATATTGTTTATGTATTATAGGTATTATTGAAGCAGGACTAATGTAGATTGCTTATATCGTTAATAATAATTAAATAGTTCCGTTCAAACTAAGATAATGATTATCTAATATTATATAATTATCCTTAAGTGAACATTTAAATGTTTTTATTTATATAATTCATTCTATTAAACAACTTCGGTACTCATAAATCTTGTTTAGTTTTAAAATTATCTAGTTGATGCTCAAACATAAATTGGCGGCAGAAATAAACACAATAAAAAACATAACTACCATAAATATCTGATCGATATTTAAACCTGGTATTT